GTGTTTTCTGCTTTGTGGTCACGTTGGTGTCTGACCGCTCCCCTCTGTTTGTTGCAGCACGGTCACCTCTGCGGTCTTCACGGTGGGCGACAACGTGGTCTCCGGGAGCGACGACCGCACCGTCAAAGTGTGGGACCTGAGGAACATGAGGTCGCCCATAGCAACCATCCGCACCGACTCCGCCGTGAACAGGTAGGAACGGGCCGCGTTCCTGCCGCCACGCCATCACAGGGAGAGGCCCCCTTTGAAGCCCCTCCCAACCCCCAAAACATCCTACATTTTGTGTTTAGAATAAGAATAGAATAATTTTGCTTCCAATTATGTAATTCTCCGAGTAGCCTTTTTTGAGTCTCATGCAACGTGATTAACACTTTCTTCCAGAAGTGGCGCTAAGTTCTAATTACAAATTACACCTCAGTTGGGAGTGGGGAAAAAAGATGTAACTCTTAAAGAACTTTTAAACGATCATTAAAGGCGTTTGCAATCATACCGTGATCATTATGAACAATAACGGTCTATTTGTATCCAAGAAGGACCTATAGTACTCCATTAGAATATTTATTTTTATTCTTTAAAGCAGCACATAGAGCAGTACATACAATTGCCTACAGAATGAGTGATTGAGGGGGACATATTTGTGTCTATCATGCTATCTGACAAAAGTCAGGAACGATTAATTTGTTTATGATATGTAGCTATTTAATTGTTTTTTTTGTTTGTTTTCCTGTCCTTATTTTGTAATCATTGCATTTGGTGTGTGGCCGCTCTGATGGAACATTTAGCTTGAATGTAGCAGCTACAACATTTGTGTTGGCGTCCTCAGTGTGTCATTTAGGTGTGACAACAACATAGCGATGTCGTTCAAAGCCAGAGACAGAGACGCCTCAGCCCGCAGCACAAGCCAACCCCCCCCACCCTTTTTTCAGAGTGTGTGTGTCCTCCTTGACTTTCAGGATAAGCGTCTCGGCCAACCAGAGGATCATCGCTCTGCCCCACGACAACCGCCAGGTCCGGCTGTTCGACATGAGCGGCGTGCGTCTGGCCAGGCTTCCGCGCAGCAACAGAATGGTAGCTAACGCAGAACCGGGTCCAGCTTCCGGGAAAAGCGGCGGAATTAAGCGTGTGTGTGTGTGTGTGTGTGTGTGTGTGTGTGTGTGTGTGTGTGTGTGTGTCACAGGGTCACCGGCGGATGGTGTGCTGCACGGCGTGGAACGAGGAGAACCAGACCTGCAACCTGTTCACCTGCGGCTTCGACCGGCAGGCCATCGGCTGGAACATCAACATCCCCGCGCTGCTGCAAGAGAAGTGACCCCCCCCCACCCCACCCCCTGAGTCCACACACCCACACCCACTCCCCCTCACCCCACTCACACACACGGCACCAGTTACTGCGGAGCGGCCGCCCCCTACGCGGCCAATCCAGAACCGTAGTCCTTTAGTTTGTTAGAGAACAATTCAAAGTACCGAAAGGGGTTTGTGGAACATGTATATACACAGAAACAAAATCCGATGTCGTGGCCTGATTAAGTGACCTGTATCTAGCAGTCCAGTGTCTTAGCCACCGTTTGAGGGGTGGAGCTTGGAAAAGAACATGGCTGAGTGAGTTTTTTTTTTTTGTGTGTGTGTGTGTTTTTTTGTTGTTGTTATATTTTGAATATTTCCTATCAAGGAAAGAAACATATCACGTTCACGCCTGCCTCGTTACACGTTACGTGCGGTTTATTAGCTGTTTTAAGACGCCGAAAGCCGAGGTTCTCTCACAGGCGGCCTGCTTTTCTTCACCTGGTCCTTCTGTTACTTTGCCTCGCCACGCCTCTGCGGGAGGCAAACGTCTCTCTCTTTTTTTTTCATCGTCGGGGAGCGACTGCACTTAAAAAAGTGGGTGTATCCTTCACATTTGTGCGTTTCCGTGTCTTCGGCCTAGTCAGAGTACAGTGTTTCCGGTGTGTTGCTGGTTTTTAAGGTGCCCCCCCAGTGCGTCGGTCGCTTATAGAACCACCCCCTCCGTCGTGCTTCGTGAATCCAAAGTGAACCTGTTGCTCGCTGTCCATGTCTGTGCTGGAGGGCCTGGCGGTTCGGTTTTTACCGCGCACTGAACCCGTAGCCTCGTACAATGTCGTGCGCCTTTTCTCGTGGGTTATTTTTGGCGCTCTCCCGCCTTTAGGAGGGGCTCAGTATCCCAAAACCAAACAAAACACAACAAAAAACAAAGCAATATCTAAGCTCCTTCCTGTTACTGGTGCTCAGAGTTATGCTTTCTTTTTTTTTCCCCTTTAGATTTTCCTTTCCCGTATCTTCTTTTTTTTTTTCTTTAAAAAAAATCAATTATAACTTGAAAAAACACTGAATCTGTGTCAAAACTCACCTTGAATCGGGCGTGACGGGATTCAAGGAGACGCTGTTTGTTACACTCGTGCAATATCCTAGAAATGAAGTCATGCTGTAGTTTCTGATCCTCTGATGTTTAACTTATTCTCAGTACTGCAAATCCCGTGGGAAAAAAAAATGTAAAAAATCTAATTTCGTGCACTTGTGTGACTGGTCTAGATGTACTGTAGCTCAGTGTGCATAACTTAACTTCAGATGTCGGCTTCAGACCGCACACTCACTGCTGTTCCCGCAGATAATAGAAGCAGGGCGCGTTTTGAAGTAGCATGAATCTAAAAAAAAAAAAATGCGATAAAGATATTGAAATGCCTTATTATTGCATTAAAGACGGTGCATGGGTCTTATCACGTGAATATCGGAGTGCTCTTCCAAATGCTTGTTAAATAACTAATTGCGCTCCACAGCACGGCGCAGATAGGATTTTTATTCCCGTTTCATTCAGGGAACTCAATCTGGAGCCCGCCGGTATCCGTGTCAGTCCAATCTGCAGGTAGAAGGGGAAGTCCGGCAGGCTTATGAATTTCAACCGGCAGGAAATATGATTTTTGGATGGATACATTAAATTATTGTGTGCCAGACTGTGGGGTTGGAAAACCCTTAGATTGGCTTCAGCTCTCTGTAGTGAATTCAGCCACCTCGAACTTCATTATGAGATCTTCTTTGCGTACTTTATTGTGACGGGTTCGTGCTCTCTGACACTTTCCAATAAAAAAAAAATGTGATTTCCTTTTTCCAGTCACCCGTGTCTCTGTCTTATTCAACTCACACTTTCTATTTGGTCAATGGAACCTATTTCCTTATAATTCCAGTACTTTTGAAATAATAAAAACTGGTCTTATTATAATGGTGTATAATGGTGAGGGATATATAATCATAGAACATGTAACATAGATTTTTGAAGCTCCATACCATACACATATAGTTTGCCTTTTTTGACATTGGATTTGTGCCATTTTATGAAAAAAGTGGATTGACATTAGGCTGATAAGTTTATTTTTTGAATATTGCATTGACAAGAAAGGGACAGTAATCGCCCAAGTTAAGCTAAGTGACCAACCAGAAATGATCCTGATATGAAAAACAGTAGCCAAGCTGATCTGAGGGTTAATTCAATTCAATTCAGAAATACTTTATTTATCCCAGAGGGAAATTAAACGTTGATGTAATTCATACAGCAGTTATTAGAGATGGCTGTGGCAGTCCAAATAATGAATAATCCAAATAGCCAAGTTAAGCAAATAATGCAGATATTTGGGTTTGCACCAGGGGAGCTATAGCTGCCACCTTCTGTACAAAACTGGGGGTCTTTCTCATCTTTTTTCAAAAACCAGATTTAAAAAACAGCTAAATATGGACTCGTCAGACCACTGTCTCCACTTTATACCCCATACATATACCTAGTTAAAGGTAATTTATAGATGAAGCATCAGAATGTGTTGTTGAATAGTTATTTCTGAACTAATGTGGCCTCATGAATTTTGCATTAAGTGCCAACTTAAAGGACATCCAGTTGAGATTTGTATCTTCTTGGTTTTGTATGCTAGAAATGTATGCTCTGAAATGTAGGCGTGTATATAAGTTGTCATGCTTTTTACATTTTTAAACTTTTTAAAATTAAAGCATTGATCCAAATTTTGGCAAAAGCTGTGAAACTAAGTCTTTGGTAGACGTCCCTTTTATAATTAGTCCTGGCGCCCATACCTATCAGTTCTGTGTTGAATCTCTACAGAAGGCCGTTTTTTTCTATATTCTGTCTTTGTCTTTCACAAACCTTTTTGAAAGTGTTATTGAGGTCACATTTTTTATTTTTTTAAATACATAGTTCATTTAAGATAATGAAAATAGGATAAAAAAAGGTTTAAATAAATTAGCAAATTTATAGTGCCATGTTTTTTTTAAATCCCATTCTAGATCTTTTGTTCCACCCTGAAATAGGCTCTGTATACCAGATTTATAATCTTTATTATAACATGGGTATACCATTTAGCAGAGTATTTCTTGGGGTGTGATGCCTCTTGTTTTTCAGCATAAAAGTAGGACACAGAATCTATACGGTGGAACTTTTTTCCCTCCTCGTCAATAAGAATTGGACCGCTTGGCTGTGACCAGATGCTGGATCAAATTGTCAATTACGGTGTTTATTGTCGGACACCCAGATGACTCCGTGGCTGTGGGAGGGAAGGCAGATGCTGGAGAGGACACGTAGCTCAAGCCCCGACCCTTCACCCCGCTTCTCCCCGTTCACCCTCCCGGCTAATTTGGTGCCTGCTCTGTATGACACCTGCCACAAGCCTAACACAGATAACCATTTCCCACCGGATTTCCCCTGGGAGAGCCCGCCGAGAGGAGGCCCCCTCAATAATTGTGGCGATGCTCTCGAGGGCGAGCGCATTATCACACAGAGAGGTGATCATGACTAAAGTCCAAACAGCCCATAATAAAAAGATAAAACATTGAAATCTAACTCGAGCGAAAGGTTTCACATCAAATTCAACTTCATGCCGCTGGAAAAAAACATTAAGGCAAAAATAAAAATTACAAGATTTTGTGGTTTTATTCACATATACAGTACAAACATTCACTTTTTTTATTTATAGTTACTCAAGTGCAATTTACAGACCTTAGCAGCAATTCTTCCTACGCCCCAATTTACATCATGAGTAGACATTTTCATATCTCTTTCACATCTTCATCAACATCTTTTATACATTTATAGTTTACATATGTACACTTATTGATATTATATTGCCATTCAGACATGCCTTATAGTTATCTCAAAATAAATGTGTGAATCTGTGATGGCTAACACAGCATTAAGGTGTAAAACAACGATGACGCTTCTTAACTGTGGCCAAAAAAAATTATAAAACGTGTTGGATCTCATTATATGGCAGCTCAGACAGAAAAAAACAAAACAAAAACAAAACTCTTTATAGTTTTTCTTTATATTCTTTTCAAATTCTGAAGCAAGGTGACACCAACCAGACATTTGGGGACCAAAAATGTTGACTATATTTGAGCTTGTTTCAATCATTTGTTTGGAAGTAAGTAAGTTGTCGTCCATTGTCCTGCATTAACGTTTCGATTGTTTTTTTTTTACAGTGGCTGTCTTCTTTTTAAATGACTCCCAATGCTCACAGTGATCATCTCTCTTGGTGAATATATTGTATGAACACATTGTGTTTATTGTGAATAAACATGGCAGAAATTGGACTTACGTTAAAAGTTACACAGATGCTTCGTCCAGCCTCCTCATCTTTACTTACTTAACTGAAGTGCTTCAGGTTTGGGTGCTACAACGAGGAAACGGAGTGCTGTTTAATGAACCAATGGGAGTTGAGAGAACATGTGGCTGAGGGGAGACATTGGACTGGTATTTTTAGCTCAGGTTTGTCGCTACCTGACGTGAATGGTGCAGACACAGGTGTGAACTCGCATCTCAACAGGCCGAGGGCTTCAGATACCCAGGAGTTCAGCTCTGCTACAGCCTACCGAATAGCGGTTTAGCATTCCTCCGTACGGGCCTCGCCCGTGTCATGCTTCAGTACTCCAGGTTTAACTCAGACGGAATGAGTCTAGCTGTGTTTGGAATACAGACGGGGGTTCTCGTTTGTTCATGCTGAGCTCCTCAACGGAAGGCTTTTTTTTAGACGGAGAGATGAAAGTCTAAATGGGTTTGATCCCACATGCTACGGACAGCAGAACCCAGGTGCCATAAGCCGTTGACCCAGTCGCTGGACTTTTTATCAGGTTCCTAACGGTGTCAAATGACCCCAAAGATGGCAGAGATGGCTGGTGAAAGTCCCTTACAGCTAAAAGGTGGAGTTTTCAAAGTTATCTGGACGATCTCCCGCGCCGTCTTTTGTTAGAGTAAAGGAGAAAAACTAATTCGCACAACCATCTTGTGACAGAAATCTTGTGATAGATAGCTATGCTCAGTTATTTTCATCCAGTGGTGTCAATTCTGATTCAAGAACCGGTGAAAAAATACAGAGTATTTCCCTTTTTTTCTGGATTTCCTTTCTTTATTGTAGTGAATGGACAATCTTGGTAATGTAGCAGTGTTTATAAAGGGATTAAAAAACACAAAAAATGCCGCTGGTTTGTTTTAGCCTTTTCCTTTTTTTCCCCAACAAGCTTAACAATAAGCTTTTAGGAACAAAAGCAACTCGACTTTGCAATAACAAAAATCTTTTTGGGGCCACTCAGATAATCTGTTTCAGTCCATCCGAGGCGGATTTTGATGAAGAATTTTCCATATCAGTTCATTATGACTTTTTAATAGAGAGGAGACACACTGTTCACACCTACATTTTTATTAACAAAAGGCAGTTCTATAAAATCAAATAAAAAGGAAAGCAAAACTGGAACAAATCTGGAACCCGGTTGCATGTGGAACGCGCTACAAATCTGCCACCTTTGTGTGAGTTTAACTGTCTGGCAAAGCTTCTTCCTCACTGATTTCTAGAAAAAAAAAAGAAAAAAAAAGGCTAATCCCTAAAGTCTGATCGGCACACCACAATTTGGTTTGAACTGAACCCTCGGTGCTACATCTAATGGAGGAAGGACAAAAAAAAAAAAAAAAAAAAAAATGAAGACCAAACAAAAACCACTAGATGTCACTCTCACTACTTGGATTTTGGGTTTTGAACGCGGGCCGGGCTGCTGCTGCTGGCGGAATGGGTCCCTCCACTGAATTATTTAAAGTACAGAAACGGCAGCACTCCACTGTCACTGATCATAATGAGTCGAAACACTTCGCTTCATAAAGACGTCACTCACACACGCACAAACACACTGTGATATACAGATGAAATATGCGCGTGTGAAAGCATTTGGAGGTACACATTTACATGGATGCCGGGTTCTGTGAGGAATGCCTGTTTCCTAGAGTCTTAAAAAAGAAGACTGGCCGATTTATTGGTAAACGAACCCCCACTTCCGCTCCTCTTCCTCCAAACGAGGGAGCCCTGATGGCTTTTCGTGCTCTCGAGGGGTCGCGTTTACGTGCCATTGTGTCACGTTTTAACTCTGCCCAATCGGAGAGAGAGAGGCGAGCAAAGACGGGGAGGCCACGGAGGGCAGAGGACCGACTAAAGAAGCTAAAGGAGTTAAAAGAAGAAGGAGAAAGACTAAAAATATAAGAGGAGAAGGTGAGGCGCGCTGCTCTGAAGCTGCCTTCTGTCCTTCCCTTTTTCTGCCTCCCTTCCTCTTTCTCCATCACCCGTCACCCTGACAGGGACGGTAATTGGACGTGGACCCTTTTTTTTTTTTTTTTTTTCTCTCCCTCCCTTTTCCCTTTTTCCCTCTGTCTGTCTGTCTCGCTCTCTCCCCTGTGGCTCTGCTCCTCAGCGTGAGCCTTGGGGCCCGGAAATAGCTGATGACAAGATAGTGGCTGCCTTTCATTCTCCTCAAGGTTACCCCACCCTTTTCTTGACAGCCAAAGAAGGGGTTGGTGGCGGAATAGGTTGGGGGGGGGGGGGGGGGGGGGAGTTGTGGGTTTTTTTTTAAAAAAATTTTTTGTTTATGTTTTTAAAGAAACGTCTGACCCAAAATGGCCATCCCCCCCCCCCCCTCTTTCTGTCCAGAATGCGCAGGTGACCTTTTACCGGTCTTTTCTTGTACCGAACAGTTGTGTGACGCAAACAAGGATGCAACACAAACACAAAAGGGGGCTGTCAGCCTCGGGTTTGGAGGCTAAACATCCAAGTATGAGCCTGTAGAACGCATTATCTTACTCTAAAAAAAAAAAAATGAAATAAAGCTCACACAAACGCATTACTCTCTGTATATCTTTCTCTTACACACACACACACATTCACACACACACACTCAGGCGGAGAGCAGGAACTGGTCCTGCTCCGGTGGTTTTTTGACCCAGGTCCCGAGGCCCGACTCCTGCAGGGACCGGAACCACTGCTGCTTCGCTGTCTGGTAGGGACGCGCCGCCATCTTGGCCTCGCTGTACAGGAGCTGGCGGTCAGCCGAGCTGGACACGAGGACCCCCAGCTGAAGGAGAGAGAGGGGGGGGGGGGGGGAGGACGCAAAGGGGAGAGAGGAAACAGGCCGGCGTCAGATATATGTGTCACATAACGCTAAAAACGGGAAGGGTCAACAAAGGAGAGCGAATAAAGTCGGGGCAACAGAAGAAGAAGAAGAAGAAGAAGAAGAACGGGCGAGCTAAACAAAACGAATGAGCCGGCACAAATGCATTTGGGTGGGGTCGGG